ATGCTTCACTAGACGTGGAGTGGTAAATTTTCATAATCAACATATTTGGTCGCATGAAAATCCGCATGCAGTTCGGGAAAGAAATTTTCAGCATGAATTTAGTGTGAACGTGTGGATTAGTATCTACCGTAATCGACTATTTGGACCGTACCTTTTGCCTGCAAGGTTAAATGCTGCGACCTTCTTGGAATTTTTAAAGGCTGAACATGCAAATATGTGGGATGATGTAATGTTAGATTTAAGAAGATTGGCCTGGTTCCAGCTTGATGGTTGTCCAGCTCATTATTCGAGAATAGTTAGAAACTGGCTGGACGAAAATTATCCAGAAAGATGGATCGGCCGTGGAGGACCAGTTGCCTGGTCTCCACGATCTCCTGACCTAAATCCATTAGATTTCTTTGTGTGGGAATTTCTAAAAGAAAAAGTGTACCAGACTCCCGTAACCACAAGAGATATGCTAATAGACAGAATCAGGAATGCATGTGATGAAATAAGGCCTTATTTGAATAATGCTATACCACGTTCGATCATTCGTAGATGTGAATTGTGTATTGAACAATTGGGTTTACATTTCGAGCAACTACTTTAGATTTTGTATGTTTGTCCTAACTATCCAATAGCATTTTAGTTGTAATAATTATTTTAATTTGTTAAAAATAATATTGGAAAATTAAACAAATTAATAATCTGTTTTTTTGTGTTTATTTGGAGTTAGGAATTATTGCTGTGTTTAAAAATACAATCTAAACGATCATTTTAATTACTTGTAATGCCCAAAATATTATTTTCCCATAAATAATTAAAAATGCATCGAACCTTAAAATCGAAATACATATCTCAAAACGGCTAACTATAACGAAAACTCACAGAAGAGCTTTTTTATGCAGAAAAGTGCAAAGAATCAGTTTTTTTCTTCAAAAAGCAAAAAAATTGTCGTACCAAAAAACCCTTGCATACCAATTTTCACTGTTATACATCAAATATTGTTCGAAATATTTAAAAAAAAAACTATTTTAGAAAGTAAATTTAAACACCCTGTATTTCGGAAGCCACGCATTTTTCGACCCATGTTTATATAGACTTTATGCATTAATTTTAAAAGTTCTATCGAATCTTAAAGTTATGCAACAATAAACTGAAACACCCTGTATAACTCGTCAAAATGAATATAAAATTTAAAATCAAAAAGCAAACAACATAAATTATCTGCAAACAATTGAAACTTATAAATAGACAAAATTCCGAGACGGCGTGATGGAATTTTTTTGTAAGAAACTGCTTAAGTTTTATTTTGAAAAAGCTCATATTTTTGAAATTTCTTACGTCTACTGGCAAACTGTTGAACATTTTTGGCCCTCAATACCTTGGAGACTTCCTGGATACACACAAAAGCTACATATAATTGGTTACATTGTCTTGTATTTAGTCCATGAACATCTTTATCTTTTAAATAGTTTTCCAAATTTACGTACGTTAACACAGCCAATTCATAATTATGTACAAGGTGTTCAAACTCGTCAAAAAGAATTGATATACCAAAAATCACCAATACAGGGTGTCCGCAAAGTTGGGGTTTTCCTTTTCAGAAACAACTACCCTTGAAATAACAAAGATGTAGTGAAACGAGGGCGACCAAGTAAAAAAAAAATAAAGGAAACTCTCCAGTTGACGAGAAGGGCTAAGTACGTCTCTGCCCGAAATCATACCGCTTCAACAGAAAATGAAATCAGCTAATGCGCTACCGAGCAGACGCCGGCGGTGGTGCAGACCAGTAGAGCACGAACATAGGTAACAAATATGACCATCGTACAGAAACCACATTGACTGTCTTACACTTAATGGCACATCTTCTAACAAGCAAGGCAAAATGTTGCGTAAAAAGTCTAGGTATTGCATCCCGTCCAATCGATTTGGGAGAATAAATGGTCCAATGAGCATACCGTTCACCATGCCAGTCGAAACATTCACCGAAAATGTTTGTTGAAAATGTGCCCGACAGACAGCGTGCGGATTTCCTACTGACCAAACATGAGTGTTGCAAAAGTTATTCACCCCATTACGCGTGAACATAGATTCGTCTGTCACCAATATGCACTTAAAAAATCCGGATTATTGTCATGTTGATGCAACAACCACTCACAAAACCGCACTCTTGCTGGAAAATCGTCAGGTTGAAGGGCTTGTACACGTTGGACGTGAAACGGATACAGCCCCTCTTCACGCAGCGTTTGCCACACTTTAGTTTTTGATACTTGCACTTCTCTAGCCACGTCTCCAGTGCTTGTTGAGGGATTCACGTCTACGCGATTACCTCTAGACGCGTGACCGTAACCGTCGGTTTAAGGTTGCATACTGACCTGACACACTGACCCCGACCCAGTTCTGTCGTCGGATTGAGCTAGTGTCCTAGTACCAGTCGGGGATGTCGCGGCTACAGGACGGTATTCAGATATGTTTGATGTTGCAGAGCCCTTTATCTCGGTTCCCTTAAGACATTGGTGTATATGGTACCAATTGCTTATGTTTTCAAGATCTACACGTCGTGTAAAGGAAAACCCCAACTTTGCGGACACCCTGTATAAAAGCTGCATAATAACAGAGCTGGTAATTTGAAAAAAATCATTATCAAGTTAAATGGGTACCGTTTTTACAAAAACGTTCAAAATTGTTCCCATTTCTTTAGATAAACGATAAGAGTAGTAAGCAAAAACGCTAGATGTTATACGGCACTGATCGAGTATATCAAAAGATCTGTGTAATAACATTCTTGTTTTTTTTCAATTCTTAATCTTTTACTATTTTTTTTTATTATGCAACTTTTATATAGATGATTTTTGTATTTTAAGTATTCTATATCTTTTAAGCAGTTCCCTACAACTATGCATACTATTAATTTAGCAATGCTTCACTCTGTTCTGGCATATAAATACATCTATCATTGCACTTGATGTACCCCAGAAGCAAAGCCTGGACTCAATCTGTGCATAATACACTGATAAGTTGATCTTCACTTAGAACTGTCGTAAATTTTTATAAATGTATGAATGTAAATTCAGTACTGACATAATTCTTTCAGTGCAGTTGTCGAACTTAAATAAGTATATTACCTATTACAATTTTATTTAATATAGGAAATTGTGCGGATTTTTCATAAAAGGTGTTCAATATGACCAACAGTTTCGGTTCTGCACATAACAATACGAGGGAGGTCTTTTAAGTTTTGCATATGGAAATAAAACAACACGGTAGGTAGTTTTAAATGACTTTATTGTTTTTCGAAGTATACTAAGTGACATATAAATCCGCATACCCAGTTTAAATGGTTTTATTTTAATAAAAGTGGTGAATGTATTTATCTTACTGTAAATAACAAGTGAAAAAATTTTCAGCCTTATCAGTTGGACATTCCGGTTTTTATACTGCTTTTTTTTAATTCACTAACGCTCTAAAAATGAATATTTCAGCCGCAGTAAAGAATCAACGTTGGCGGATTTGGTTCTTGACATCCTTTACGATCGGTTACGATGCCTAGAGTACGGAGAGACCTGTAACGATTTCGTCAACTTAGTGAGTTTGATAGGGGCCGTATAGTGGGACTTCGGGAAGCTGGACTTTCTTTTCGGGCAATTGCAGTTAGAGTGCAAAGAAGTGTAGACACTGTGGTTAGGGTTGTCAGGCATGGCTTCGAGAAGGCCGTACGCAAAGAGCAAGGGGCACTGGACGCCGCCGTAGAACAACAGACCGCGAAGATCGCCGCCTAGATTATTGGCCTTAAGGGACCGTTTCTCCACTACCAGGTCCATTGCAAAATGAAGGGTTTGCAGAACACGGAAGACCTATTGGCATGCGAAGTGTTTACCGACGAATGAGAAGTTTTGGCTTGTTTTCATACCGGCCACACTGGGTCCTCCCTTTAACTCGAGAACACCGACGTAATCGCCTTGAGTGGTGCAGACAACGGTCACTCTGGGATCAGGAATGGAACAGTATTGTCTTTAGTGACGAGTCTCGATTTTGTTTAGGCATGCACGATGGTCGTGCCAGGGTTAGAAGGCGATGTGGTGAAAGGAGGAATCCACAGTTTTTTGTTGAAAGACATGTTCATCACACTGTTGGAGTTATGGTTTGGGATGCTATAGCTTATGGTTCCAGGTCACCTTTAATCTTCATCAGAGGTAACATGAACGCGCAACGTTATATCCACGAAGTTCTAGAACCCCATCTTTTACCCTATCTTGACACCCTGGCAGATCCAACTTTCCAACAAGATAATGCCCGACCACATATTGCAAGAGTCACAATAGACTTCTTTCAACATAATGATGTCACATTGTTACCATGGCCACCAAGATCTCCCGACTTATCCCCAATTGAGCACGTGTGGGATATGATGGGTAGGAGATTGCTCAATTTGCAACGTCCTCCTCAGACTCTAGAAGCACTTCGGGAGGAGTTGGTGGTTGCCTGGAATGAGATACCACAGGAGGACATTGACCACCT